AATGATCGAACAACTTCCAAGTGGCCGTTGAAGGCTGCCACTACCAAAGACGTTGCCCCATCTGGCGCTGCTGCCGCATCTTTGTCAGCCCCAGCTTCGAGCAACAGTCGCACCACTTCCAAATGACCGTTGCGGACTGCCGCAAAGAAAGCCTTCTTGTTTGGCTTCTGTGGTTTTTGAAGCAGTCTTTCAACTTGACTCGCGTGATTCTCCCGACATTGCTGGAACAATTCTTCCTCCATAGTCTCGTCAAGATCACTAAAGGGCAGGATTACCAGCTGTACACTTGTCAGTGGTGTCACAGGCATGTCATCCTGCAATTCGCCAACTTCATCACTCACAAGTCTTTGCTGAAACCTTGAGCACCCTACTTGAAATGAAAGAACTCGCTTTAGGTCCCGAATAGTTTTACCACTTTCCACCATGCAATGCAACTCATCCTCATCGAGCTGAGCAACTGTCTTGCCAGATACAGTCGTAGCCTGCATCGTTGAGGTTCAAGTTCAAAGGAGGTCTTGAGCCATGGTCAAAATCAATCCAGAAGACATTCCATCTCTACGGAAAACACACACACACACAACAGCAAGATACAGCAAGTAAGTATACGCAACAAGAGTGAAACAAATACGACGATGAAAAAAACCGATAGTTCACCGTGCAAAGACCGATCCCACCCATCGTCCTCCCACCCATCTCCCTCCGGGCGAAACCGCGCGCGCGCCGAAAGACGCCGAAACCGGTGTGGCAACCGCCGCTGTGTCCGGACCCCGGTCATCCTCAACGACCCGTCCCGGAGCGAAACGGAGGCGGAAGGGGAGGCGGAACGTGGACTCTCTGAGTCGGTCGAGACAGCGAGCCACGAAGGTACGAGGAACGGCCCACGACGATCCGAGCAGAACGAGCTTTCTGCGTTTTGCTCCGCGTGTTCGTTGAGGAGCGGCCGAGGGAACACCAATGATCAAATAGAGCTTTCCTCGCTCAAAGATAGCTTCATAAGTGGGAATAGCAACAAACATAACATATCCTGACGAGCAAAATAGATCAGTTGCAACTAAGTCCTATGGATCCCAGTAGCCTCTGAGAAGGTGTTTGGCGTGGGTGCCAGGAGGGTCCAAGTACCTTTTGACGCTTTTGAGGAGGTACGACTGGATGGGAATCCCTATAGAGTAAGTCTATATGGATCGAGTTCATCACATGATCCAGCCATCTCCACGTTGTTCGACGCATCAACACGCTGTCGCCTCAAACCGTGTCGCCTCGCGGCCACGATGGCCTGGCGGACTCAGTTCGTTGCACGGGTTCACGAGCGTCTTCGGTTCATGAGCATCTTCGCCCGAAACAGGTCTAGACACTTCAAGTGGACCTAAAACCAGTAACGTACCCTAAGAATCCTTGGGCTCTCCATGGCAGGGGTCGGACCCTCCATAGCAGGGGTCCGAGCCCTCAACACCCTATGTGTTTGAGGGTCCGGATTCTTAGGGTACTAATAAATACCCGCTTTGTCCAAGATTTGTGCTGAACAAAGATCTGGATGCTTGTGGATGTACGGAAAGGATTCTAAGGATAGGCATGTGCAACTGTCACATGATCAGCACAGCGTTTGAACTTTCCGGGGATTGACGATTGACAGCAAGACGGTTCCGTCTGGCAGCTTCAACGGCAACTGGTTCAACGACAACCTCTTAGTCTCTGAGACTCCGAGAAGGGCATGACATATATATACCAGGACCCAGCCTGTTAGGGTCACCAATGGTTCGACCTGAGACAGGGTCCAACAACCCTCAACTAACAGCCTGGCCAGGAGGGTGCTGGTATAAGATCATGCACATCATATAACTGACCATCAAAACGGTTTTTCCATGAAGCTTCTCCGCGTTTCTGGCTGCTGGCTGCCCCTGGCGGGGAGTGTCATGCGCAACAGTGTCGGTGTCACAACGCTTGTTTGGCAGGGGGGTTGACCAGGTGGCTGACCCAGTTGGCTGCCATCTCACTGGCCCCCTCCCCTGGCTGAGAACAGGAGCGATGCAAAGGTGGACGATACGGCCTCACATGGAGCTATTTTGATGCCTTTTGTCATGGATTGTGGAGATATATATTTGAGGTATATATAATATTGATTGAATTTTGACATCGAAACAGAACCATTTCAGTTGGTTGTGGGCTTCTGGTCGTGTCAAAAAGAACAATAAGTTAAGTCCTAATGTGAGTGAAACTCGTTGGAGTTCGATGAAGCTTCTCCCGAAAGGGTGGCAAGGAGTCTGGAGTCCAGGTCAACCGCACCGCCCGAGATCATGGTCAAGTGAATTTGTGACTCTTGACTTTCCAACAAAGCACATCAACTTCAGATCTTGTGGCTTGAAAACCACTGCCCCGGGGAGGCGCTTGGTGGTTTGCAAAGCATGTTCCTTCAAAAACGAGGTCCAAGTTTCGGGCGGAAAGCTCCGCCAAATTGCCAATTCTCCTAGCCACCTGGTTGGGTGAACTTCCTGCTCTGTTCGAAGGGGAAGTTGTCTGAAAACTCCCACATGCATCGCATGCATCGCTAGCCGTGTGATCTCTTCCGCGACCCCCGACCCGTTAGGCCTCCTCCGCGAATCGTGAGTCGGACGAAACGCCCTGGGCGGGTTGGGCCTGAGCAGTCAGAACTGAACAAGGAATCAAGAGAGGTATCCAGTGACCTCAACTACGACTGTTGATTGGATAGTCGAAAAACACCGGGTTCTTCAACCTCTGGAACATGGAGACACGTGGATGAATTAACATCGATTTACCACGCCGAGCTGCGTGTTTGTCAGCGGTGTTTGTCCGTGTGTGACACCTCTGCCTGTGTCAAGAACAAATGATGCACTGAGGTGACACCTGAAGTATACAGTTTCGGTGACACCTCTCTTGATCAAAACAAGAAGTGGGCGCAAGAAGTTGCAGATTCTGACTGTCGTGCTTCCAGGGCGCCTCTTTTTCCAGCCTCCATACGCTCCATGGCCGATCTTTGTCCTCTGCTCCTATATACATGAACCACATCTCGTGACGGACCGCAGTAACCGAAACCCAACACATCCCAAATACAAAGGAAACAAACGAAGGGCCCATCTGTCTATCTTAGCAAAGCAACAAGAGCATAACTTCCATGTGGTTCTTCCGAGCTGCCACCAACAAAGCCGTTTCCCCGTCAGTTGTTGCTGCGTCTTTGTTAGCTCCAGCCTCGAGCAACAATCGCACAACTTCCAAGTGGCCGTTGTAGGCTGCCATAATCAAAGCCGTTGTCCCATCGGGCGCTGCTACCGCATCTTTGTAAGCTCCAGCGTTGAGCAACAGCCGCACAACTTCCAAGTGGTTGTTCTGGGCTGCCATATACAACGCCGTTGCCCCACCCGTGGTTGTTGCATCTTTGTCAGCTCCAGCCTCAAGCAATGATCGAACAACTTCCGAATAACCGCGCAGGGCTGCCATCAGCAAAGCCGTTGCCCCATCATCTGGTCTTGCTGTATCTTTGTCAGCTCCCATCTCAAGCAACAGTCGCACAACTTCCAAGTCATTGTTCTGGGCTGCCATAAGCAACGGCGTTGTCCCATCTGTCGTTGCTGCATCTTTGTCGGCTCCAGCCTCGAGCAACGATCGCACAACTTCCAAGTAACCGTGCAGGGCTGCCATCAGCAAAGCCGTTGCCCCATCATCTGTTCTTGCTGCATCTTTGTCAGCTCCCATCTCAAGCAACAGTCGCACAATTTCCAGGTCATTGTTCTGGGCTGCCATAAGCAACGGCGTTGTCCCATCTGTCTTTGCTGCATCTGTGTCAGCTCCAGCAGCAAGCAAATAGCGAACAACTTCCAAGTGGCCTTTCTGGGCTGCAACCATCAAAACCGTCTCCCCAAATCTGTTTGCTGCATCTTTGTCAGCTCCAGCCTCCAGCAACAGCCGCACAATTTCCAAGTGATTCTTCTGGGCTGCCACCAACAAAGCCGTTGCCCCATCCATCGTTGCTGCCTCTTTGTCAGCTCCAGCCCCGAGCAAAGAGTGAACAATTTCCAAGTGCCCGTTGAAGGCTGCCATTGCCAAAGCCGTTGCCCCATCGGGCGCTGCTGCCGCATCTTTGTCGGGTCCGGCCTCTAGCAACAGCCGCACAACTTCCAAGTGGTTGTTCTGGGCTGCCATATACAACGCCGTTGCCCCATCTGTGGTTGCCGCATCTTTGTCAGCTCCAGCCTCAAGCAATGATCGAACAACTTCCAAGTGGCCGTTGAAGGCTGCCATTACCAAAGAAGTTGCCCCATCTGGTCTTGCTGCATCTTTGTCAGCTCCAGCTTCCAGCAACAGCCGCACAACTTCCAAGTGACCGTTGAAGGCTGCCACAAACAAAGCCTTCCCGTTCGGCTTGTGCGGTTTCTGAAGAAGTCTTTCAACTTGAGTCACGCGATTCTCCCGACAGTACTCGACTAATTCTTCCTCAATAATCTCGTCAGGAACACAAAAGGGCAGAACTATCAGCTGTACACTTGGCAGTGGTCTCAAAGGCATGTCATCCTGCAATTCGGCAATTTTGTCACTCACAAGTCTTTGCTGAAACCTTGAGCACCCAACCTGCACTGAAAGAAGTCGCTTTAGGTCCCGGACAGTTTTACCACTTTCCACCATGCAATGCAACTCATCCTCATCAAGCTGGGCAAGTGTCTTGCCAGATACAGCCGTCACCTGCATCGTTGAGGGTTCAAGTACGAGGTCTTGAGCCATCAAAATCGAGGCCCCAAGGCTCAAGGCATGTCTACAAAATGATACAAGCTTAAGAGCAGATTCATTCTCGCTCCTGAGTAGCCACGTAGATATAGGTGCCTGTGAGGTTATAAGTCTAATACTTATACATACAGTATATATATACATCTATTTGAAGCTCCATATGATCCACAACAAACAACATCGTGAAACCGCGACAGTCCAAACAGCTTGATCAGCTTGATTCAGCTTGACCAGCTGTTCGGATGAAGGTCTCACACGAGCTCGGGTCCGAGCTGTTCAGCGGCGCATGATCCGTCGAGTCCCGTTTCTGGTGACCACATGAGGTTAAGTAATGGAGTATTGTCCCGGTCCAAAGCGTTTTGGACGAGGGATCATCTAAAGCTTAACTTTCCAAAGATGTATACTAGCAACCTTGTGAAAACGATCAGACGTCGGAAGTATCCTGAAGCAGGAGGCAAGGCAGCAACATGAATTCCCGGCCATTCTTCCGAAACAACTCAGATCAAACCATCGCGTTGGTCAAACGTCGGAGATCCAGACTCTTGACTCTTGTAGATCGCGCACGTCACGTCTCGCACGTCACGTCGCGTTTCATGCTGCACTTCCACCCACAAAAAGAGGACAGATCCAACACGCCTTTGATCGTCCAAAGGCTTTCGGTTCCTTTTTCATCCCAAGGGCTTCGGTCCCGCCCAGCAAGCTCCGCGGGACCGCTTCCCTCTTCCAGCTTTCGAGAAGGGGCCGCGGCCGTGCTCCGATTCAGAGTGAATTCAGTAGCGGTTCAGAGGACTCCTGGAGCTCCTTCGCTCGCGCGGGCCCTGGCCGCTTCGCAACGCTTCGCCGCGGGAACGCGCGCGGGAAGAGAGGCAGGGGGGGGAGGGAGGCGAAGGGCGCCCCACTTGGCAGTACCCAACGCCCAGCTGAGAAGAACAACGGTTCGACGAGACCGGGATCACCGGGAGAAGTTTCAGGAGTTTCCAGCAGTGGACTGCGGAAAAAACGTCGTTGGAGGTGGGCTGATGATGGCTGATGCTTGGGGGTGCTCAAAACCAAAACAACACAACATGCACTAAGATAAAAGAGTCTCGGGTTCAAAAGCAATCAGCTAACTAGCTGTGTTCTTTGAGCCCTTGATGCTTGGGGGTGCTCAAAACCAAAACAAAAACACCGGATCTCGCCGATGTTTTGCCCGGGATCCAACCACGACGGCAACCCCGACGCTGCGGGGCGCTTCGATAGGAGTCGTCGACGACTGGAGCGACGTGTGTCCGATGGACAGAAAAAAAGGAACGGAGGCCTGGCATTTGTTTCAACGTTCGGTGGGTTCAGTCATTCCAAAGTCTTCCAAAGATACTGAGGAAACTTGGAAACACTATATATATATATATATATTTAAGCCTTATATAATAAATTACATCCCTTCATACCTTATTATATGAACATGTCTTTCCAAGAATCAAAAATGTTAAGAATAACCTGTTTCTGTCTCCCCCCCATGCTTCCGCTGCAGCGCCCCCCCTTGCCTGCACGAAGCAAGGCCTCACGTCCAGGCACAGTGACACCCTTGGTTTCCAGTTGCTCAGGTTCCCAAATGATCCCAATCCTCTTAACAAATGCCTTGATTGATGCATTTTTTTACTTTTTGAGAACCCTTTGTCTGATTGATGTTTTTTGCCCCGCTCAGTTCTTGAAGACTGCAGACCTCTGAAAGTGTCTGCCGGACCTGCCTCGGAGTGGTGCCACACGCTGAAGCTCAGCAGCATGGTGAGGACTCCTGCAGCCTGGTTTCGTGGTGCGCCGCCGACGTTGAACGAGGCTCCATGAAATAACAGGTTCAAGCTCTAAAAGCAATATACCTAGCAAATAGGACCTGACCTGAATAGAAAAAGGTCATTACGAAGACTACCCATGGATGCACGTGGATCCTGCTGAAACTGTGATGAATCGACCGATCCTGAGATGAATCAAGCTCCTACCAGGTCCCCCCAACTCTCAAGTTCCTACAGGGAACCTCCCAAACAAACTGCGATCGGAAGGACAAAGAAGCACATGTTCCGTTCTTCAAGAGGCCCCCCACGAGCTGAAGCTGGGCGTTCCTTTGAAGTATAAGTGTTTCCGAATGCCGAGCACCGCATTGCGGAACGGACCGCGCAGAAGATCCGCGCGTGTTGGAAAAAAGCTCTTCAGCGGCCCAGGCACTTGGCACCAACGAAAGTGGCTATGGACAATAAGCACATCCACCAACAAGTTCAGAGGGATTCCTGCGCAGCGTAAAGAGAGGAGCAGAATATACGGAGTTTCTCAACCAATTTCAAAGATACTAACACAACACCAAAGCCGCCGGGCCATGGGGTGTCTATTTACAGCTCCATAGAGGTTTTTTTTTTTTTTCAGGGGTATCCAGGTATCCATTCATAAGCCCCAACAAGATCAACAAGGGCCCTGGCAGATATTCATGCTCCAATTGACTCTTCACTGATGCCCTTTGATCTTCAAAACTCGAGTGCCTTGTGGGGTGGTTGTGGAAGCAGGGGTCATGACGGTCATGACCCTTGTAGAAGCTGGACATAGACTGGGTTGTCCACTTGAACCATGTCGTGAAGGAGTTCGAAGTGTAAGCTTGATGGTGGAAACTGAACACCAATCTTTTTGATGTTTTTGGAGCCTGTGGTTTTCTATAAAATTCTATGATGTTCTATGCTTGTTCCTTCCAGGATCCTCCATGTTCATCTATGAGTGTTGGATCTTGAGCCAGTTTCCAGGTCACCCCTCATCCACCGACCCGAAGGCAGCAGTCAGAGCCGGCACCTATTTGGGTGCCGAGGCTGGTGGTCACGGGCGTCTCCCGCGACAAGCCGAACTTGATGAGGAAGTTGAAGAGCTGAGCCGGGTCGTTGCCCCACGAGCTGGACGTCGTCGGGCGCACGGGCCGGGCTGGTCGTCGGGTGGAGCACAGTGCACACACGGGTGCACACGTGGGCGGGCGTTTGATGAAAGAGGCGTGCAGTTCGGGGCTCTTTAAGAGCGGAGGTTGTTGGGAGCATTTTGACGAGTCATAGAATCATAGAATGTGTCTTGAGACATCTGGAGACAATAAGGCTGTTTCCTCCTTATGGCTTTGTCCAATCCCGTAGGTGTCTCCCTTTCTCTTGACACAAACCCAAGACATGCTCCATCCAAGACCTTGGGGCTCATGGGGAAAAGGAACTATCTACCCATAGATGAATGCAGTTCTGTCCCACCGTTCAACAAAAAGAAGTCTACCGGATCCCTGCTAAGGGTACCATGCTTAACCTCCAGGACCTTCAGTTCGTGACCTCTTTGGAGTCTCTGTTTGTGACCTTGTACAGACCTAAGTGACCTCATCCTGGCATATCAAAGGGTCACTTTGAAGGTCCTGGCTCTTTTGGTTTCTTTGGGTAGTGAATCCCTTTGGTGCGCCCAAGAGGGTGAGGATCTAAGGATCCAAGTTCAAGCAAGTTGTCCATTCAATTCACCAACTGCCGAGACCCAGACTGCCGAGCTCAAGGATGAGGAAAGGACCATGGCCTTGGAGATCGCCGCAGTTGCGATCTCCAGAGGCAGTTGCTGTTCTTTGTTATCAGAGATCCACACAAAATGGGCTGGGCAACCATGTTAATTCTGCTTGTCAAGCACTTCACCTAAGGTCTGTTGGTGTTGCTAGCTATATGTGGTGTTTTCTGCTTGAACTATACGGTATACCGTCTAAGGTTTCTCTAGCACATCTGCACTAGGCACATCTGCACTCTAGTCCAGATGGATAGAATGAGCTAAAAATACATTGGTTTCAGAGGTTCGATGCCACAGGGCGCCTGAAACCAATGTCTTAAACAAATGGGTGTCCGAACCACCAAACTTGGTTCGTGTGCCATCTACATCATCAACCCACAATACATCTCACCTTTAACATGGTTAAATCTTTGAACTATCTGAGATTATCTGAGTCTTTTTGCCTTATATTAGCATTGGCCACTTGAGTGCCGGGCCCATGGCACTTCGTGCAGATTCAGAGGGTAGATCCCCCTGCACACGCTGCACACGGCCAGCTGGGTCATGGTAGTGAGGTCAGATGTCCGGGGCATGTCGCCTGGATCGGTTTTGGACCTGGCCATCATACAAGCTTGATGGAATGTCACACAAGCTTTGCACTGACAAAGTTACCCATCTGTGGAGTTGATGGAACCCTTGGTAGATCACATGGTCTGCTCTTGGCTAGAAAGGCAAAAGGCCTTGGTGTTTTTCCTCTTTCAGGCTGTTCACAGCGGCTGTTCCACCCAAGGTGATTGCCTGTGCTCTTT